TTTTCTACTTGCCTTGTTAGAGTTATAATTTCCTGTATTACATACTTGTTAAACTATGTTCTTTGTGTTTTCAATTTTAACATCATTAATTATTTACCTGAAAATGATCATACTATCTAACACAATCTACAGATTCATCGCAATTTCTATCAAAATGCCAACGTCACTTTTCCCAGAATTAGAAAAAACTATCCTAAAATTCATATGGAACAGAAAAAAGGCCTGAATAGCCAAAGTAATTATAAGCAAAAAGAAACTGGAGGCATTACATTACCTGACTTCAAATTGTACCACAAGGCTATAGTAACCAAAAGAGCATGGTTCTGGTATAAAAATAGATGCATGGATCAATGGAACAGAATAGAGATCCCAGGAATAAAGCTACATGCTTACGGCCAACTGATCTTTGACAAAGTTAATAGAAACGTACAATGTGGAAAGGACACCCTATTCAATAAATGGTCCTGGAGCCCTAACTCTCACCATATACCAAAACAGACTCAAGATGAATTTAAAATTTAAATGTAAGAGCTGAAACTATAAAAAAATGCTAGAAGAAAACCTAGGAAAAGCTTTCCTGGACACTGGCCTAAGCAAACAATTCATAACTAAAACTTCAAATGCAAATGTATCATTAACAAAAGTAGATAAATGGAACTTAATTAGACTAAAACACTTCTACACAGCAAAATAATCAACAGACTGAACAGACAACCAAAGGAATGGGAGAAATTATTTGCAAATTATGCATCCGACAAAGGGCTATAATATCCAGAATCTAAAAGGAAGTCGAACAATTCAACTATAACAACAACAACAACAACAACAAAAACCAAATAACTCTATTAAAAAGTGGTTAAAGAACATGAACACTTCTCAAAAGAAAACATACAAATGGCCCACAAGTATATAAAAAAGTTCAAAATAATCACAAGAGAAGTAAAAATCACAACGAAATACCACCTTACATCAGTTAGAATGGCTGCTAGTAAAAAGCCAAACAATAACAGATGGCAAGGACGTAGAGACAAGGAAACACTTATACACTGTTGGTGGGAATGTAAATTAGTACAACTTCTATGGAAAACCGTACGGAGGTTTCTCAAATAGCTAAAAATAAAACTGCCATTTGATACAGCAATCTCACTACTGAGTATATTCACATAATGGTAAGAAATATCATTATATCAAAAACATACTGCATATGTAATGTATGTTTATAACAGCAATATTCACAACAGGAAAAATATGGAATCAACCTACGTGTTCAACAACGAATGACTGGATAAAGAAAATGTGGCATACACACACACACACCCCATGGGATACTACATAGCCATAGAAAATAATAAAATCCTGTTTTTTGTAGTAACATGGATGAAACTGAAGGCCATTATCTTGAGCAAAACATCTCAGAAAGTCTGTTACCACCTGTTCTTACTTATAAATAGGAGCTAAATAATGTGTACACATGGACATATTGTGGAATAATAGACATTGGAGAATTGGAAAGGTGCGAGGAGGGTAAAGGATAAGAAATTACTTAATGGGTAAAATGTACACTATTCAGCTAATGGTTACACTAAAAGTTCAGACTTCACCACTACACAATATATGCATGTAACAAAACTGCATTTGTATTCCCTAAATTTACACAAATAAAAAACACAGCCCAAACAAGTCAAGTAGAACCAAATATCCAGTTTTCAGCATTCCTTAAATATAAAAATATCCAGTTTTCAGCATTCCTTAAATATAATTAATACCTATGTTAAGGGAGCTAGGATGCAAAGATTGATTTAAATAAAAGTCTTCATTTAAATGAGAAGTGAAAGTAAAGCAAAGATGGGCAGTTTAAACGTATGTTCACTCTTCAAGATATCAGTTAGGTGACTGTGTATTTTATGCTCCACATACATATATGACTTGAGATCCTTCACTACATATGTTTTGTCATTAGTTTCATAATGTTACAAAGTTATCCAAAAATTCCTGGCTGAACTTGATTTTGAGCAATCTACCATCTGATTTGGGGACAGTTACCAAGACAGAAAACCCTTGAATGAATGAGGAGGAATTATCTTTCTGTCTATTTGCCTGTTACTGTCAGGGTATTTCCCATTGCAGAGAGGATTCTGATTTTATATCCTTCCACAACAGAGGCCTCTTTCATCCTCTTGCTTTATTTCGGGGGGGCGGGGGGAAATTACTGCCAAAGTCTTCAGATGTGGTGGCAGAGAGAACTATAATGACGGCTTCTGCCTTCTTCCTGTATACTTAAAATATTCAATTCAAATGTGTTACCCACCATATCCCAAATTGCACTTTCACCTCTTAACCTAGTAGGCTAGCAGTGCTTTTGCATATTTTCAAACTCCCAAAGTAAGATCTGCTTCCCCTCAGCATAACTCCAACTTTAAAAGTGGAAGAAAGTAATTGGGAATGTTGTTTCAAATGTACAAACCCTCTAGTTCCATTCCTCTAAATCAACTGGGTCGGAAAGCTTGACTCACTTTGATGTAAACATTAAAAGACTAAATAACAGACCTATAGGAGTAAAAAAAATACCAAACATCTTGTATATACTATAGAGAATAAGTGTTCATACAAGTAAAGATTAAGTGTAAATATAGCTGTTAACAGCATAAATGTCTTAATGATATCTATGATGCATAAAAATTTACAAAAATTTTCTCTATTTTCAATAATAAATTCCTAATACTACACTTTACTCTGATTTCAATTATTTTGTCAAAAGCAAATTTTATCTTAACTCTATCCTCCTATGAGCAGGTCATAAAAATAAATGACATGGATCCTTATTGGTATAATCAATATCAAAATATTTCATTTTTTAGTATCTTTTTAGATGAATATAGCTCATATATTTTATTTTTAGTGTTCATTATTACAAAAAATAACCTTAAGGAATGAGACAAAACCATTCCTACATGTAAAATTTTAATTATGCCTCACAGATGTGTACTTTTAATTAACTAGTGACATTTCTTTTGTTCAATTATTATTGTTCCATACAACTGTCATAAACTTATAAATTATAATTTAGCCTGCCCCAAACCCTAGTTATATAGTGTCCACGTAGGAATTTGCCAAAAGGCTTAACTGTAAGTAAACCAACAATGAATAAATCCATGAATTGCTCACTGGGATTTGTTTAACAAATTAACATTTGTGTGGAGATAATGAGGTTCTACAGTCTATAATACCAAACAATGTTTTTAGAAAACCACATTTTAAAAGTGAAAAATGATGCTTTTTAAGTGACTTAATTACATATCATATAATTATTATTAGATGCTGTAAAATAAACTACATGTTTGTATCTCATATTGAATTCATATGAGAACTCATTTATATTAAAAAATATTTTTCCTGAACATATTATTTATGTAAATCAGGATATAATTGTGTGCACAGATAAAGTTGAACAGATTTTGAGCACGCTCCAAAGTTTAGACAAATGAGTTGAACAAAACACTAAAAGTTGTGCTGTATCTATATACAACTCTGGATGCATCAACAAGACAGCAGATTCAATGTTTTATAGAGATTTATCCCTGCGGATGCGTTGCAGGTTCAATAGATAGCAATAGTGTGGAATTTCAAATTGTTTACTTGGCCTAAATATTTCTAAATATAAATATAGATAAATCATCCAGCTATAACACCATGGTTTTCATTATCTCAATGAGAAAATTAAGTTACCAATTAAATAATGAAATTTCCAAACAATTCATTTATTATGAGAAAAAATTTTTTCCCTAAAGGAGATATTATGTGTGTTACTAAAATACACTCACATATTCCTATAGTAACAGAAAATACTTTATGATCTAGCCTCCCTTAGGAGAATAATCTGTGCCTTTTATATTTCAATCTAATCAAACTCCTGAATATTTTTTCAGAATGCTATTAGAATAATTCCATTATGAATTAATAAGACAACATATAGACATAAAATTATCAAACTTTTCCTATTAGAATGCATTTCAGAAACAGCTTGACTTTTCTGATCCACACTGAAAATTCTTCATGTAACTCTTTCAGTTAGCAATACATAAATACTTCAAAACGTAGCATAAACAATAGAAGCAGTAAGAACTCCCAGCAAGATAGAAATTAACCATGTAGGGGAATGTGAAAATAATATAGACTGATTTTCCATTTGACTAAATTTGCATTTATGGTAGTAAAATTAAATGCTCTTGAATCACAATATAATAGTTGTATAATATCCCTTGCACTGAATAATTGGAATTTGCAAATTAGATTTTATTCATTGGGGTTATTTTTTTCTTATGGAATGTATTTTAAATTTAATACAAGTCAGTGGAAGAATATGTTTCTATGTTTCTATGTTCGTTTATGTGCTGCACAGAACACTTTCTGCAAACATGGCTATTGTATAAATTAATAATAATCTCAAATATATCCTAAGATGTAGAAATCTTGAATTTTCAAAGCATGTTATATGACACAGTGTGATGCCAAAAGAGTAGTTACAATTTTTGATGGGAATCAGGATGCTATCAGATTCTCTGTTACTGTTTATTTACATTTAAAATAATCCTAATTTTCAATAACAATTGATTTTTAGCATTAGGAAAACTATTTGTGCAACAATAACAACAACAACAAAAATCCATAAACTTTGGGGTAAAACATATAAGCCTGGAAAATTGGCTCTACTAATCATTCTGAGCCAGGGGCAAATTATCTATAAACACTGAGCCTGTCACATGGTACATGCTCAACCCAGAGTAATGATCATTAGTATTGTTGGTCATTCAATTTTTGGCTTGAACTTTTATATACTGAATTTAGAACAAATGCCATTGATTTAATTTTGTGTTAGTATATTGTGTTAGTCTATTCTTCATTAAGATACTAGGAAGTATGATTGTAACATTAAGTATTTTTGATTCATATATAAGAAAAAATGCAAAAGATTTGAAATACAATGACACTGAAATATTTACCTAGAACTGATGGTACGCAAGTTCCTCCATTCTGGCAGTAGTTGCTACAGTGGTTGACTTCACATCTTTCTCCTGAATAACTAGGCCAACAGTGACACCTCAAATCACCCTTCTCATTTAAAATGCATCTTCCTCCATTTTCACAAGTTAACTTACATGAATCATCTGTTTATGAGAAGAAATGTACAAATTAGCATGTTTTCAGGGAGTAATTTAATATAGATATTTCAAATAGATACAATATTTAAATACTAGGATCTTTTGTTTCCATAAAATAATTACCCCAAGTACAAAAGTAGAAAAAATTAAATACTATCTGAAAACAGATAGATTCTAGTTGTTGAATGGTACATGTACATATTAATGTTGAATGGTAAATATACATATTCTTCTTTAAATTTAAAGCATTATTAACTTTTTCTTATATTTGTAAAATATTGAATAGTAAAACTAACTGAAACTTTCTAAAAGTAATATATTTTCATCTTCTTTCTTTCTTTTATTTTATTGAGACAGGGTCTTGCTCTGTCACCCAGACTGGTGAGCAGTGGCATGATCACAGCTCACTGAAGCCTCAACTTCCTTGGCTCCAGTGATCCTATCACCTCCACTTTCCAAGTAGCTGAGACTATAATTTTTTTAATTTTTTGTAAAGACAGGTTCTTACTATGTTGCCTAGGCTTCTAAAAGTAATATATTTTCCAACCAAGAAATTTTCCTTATAATATGGACAAACATAGCTTATTTTTAGGAGTAGTTGATATTAAAAAAGAAAACTTTAAATTTGTAAGTTACATTTATAGCATATGCACACACACACACACTATTCGTTCTATAGTGTATGCATGTGTGAATATACATAATATAGAGAAATGTTTACATGAAGAGATACTCTTTGATGTTGGTCTCTATTAACCATATATAAATGCCCCAAACTAAAAGTCATTGGGATTTGGTACAAGTTGGTTATAGAACAAAGTTAGAAACATTTCCGTATGTAACATTTGTCCCAAATGATTCTGTACAGTCTACCTACTTAATAACATTTTCACTCAGAATAAAAAAGGCTGGACATTCCTTGGGGTAGCAAAATTCTTTTTAACAATATGGTAAGTATGATTTATGATAAAGATAGGCTTGGAATCATTTTTGAGGTTATTTTGCTATGCATATTGACATGGCCTTCTCCATTAGAAATGCTGCTTTGCTTTGAGCAACATACAGTGTTCAATGGAACAAAACTGATTGAGATAGTTGTAATAGGCATTCTATTCTATAATAAGCCCTTTACTATAATAATGCCCATTTTATAGTTAAAGTAGGTAAAATCAAAGCAATCTATAATCCTTATTCAAGATGCGCTGGCACATACATGACAGAAGCTTGAATATATCACTGCAATGATTTCAAGAGCATCTTTAAGCACCTCAGTGGCTTCAAATGACACAATGATTTAAGTATCATGTCCACGGTCATAAATAGAAACTGTCAGTAGTGCCATACAATTCTGGGACTTGTCTCATTGAAGAGAAAAGTTTCTAATACATTGTCACGTAGGCAGGCTTCAGATTGGCATTACTGAAGTTTGTATTAATATGAAGAATTCTCTCATGATGTAAAATAAGTGTATTATAAAAAATTACAGTGGTATAATGAGACCTGTGTTTAGGTTCTGGTTCTGTCGCTTACTAGGCATACAAGTTAACTGATTTGAGCCTCAGTTACTTCACTTTAAAATGTCCTTAATGACAACTATACAAGCTAACTCAGGTTTGTATGAATAGTAAATAAGAAATGGGAAAAACTATAAAATATAATATGATAACACTTTTTATATGCTATTGACCTAGTGCCCACAAGGTTTACTGAGAATAGAGCTCCAGTGGAGTAACATACAGGAAGACCTACGGGTGAGCTCTGGAGGAAATGAATGAAAGTCACTGTGAGTGGACCTAGATCGGAGAGGGTAAAGAAATGAATCATGATAGGTAAATGTTTTTGAAGAAATAAGCAGTGAGTAAGAGAAGATCCATGGATTTTAGACTCCACCCCAAAAGTAATGTGGTGTCTTGGAAAGGTAATGTACTGGCAGGGGTTAAAATGGCAGCTTAAAAAAGCAGGAAGGCTCTCAGAACTTTGTATACATTATCCAGGATAGGTAAGATGAGGACCGAAAATAGAGTAACATGGGATGAATGAATGTGGATGTATTCTAACGGTCATTTGGAGGTAAAAATCACAGCAGTGTTATGTGAAGAAAAATGAGGAATGCCTACAACTATCTCAATCAGTTTTGTTCCATTGTAGGTTGCTCAAAGCAAAGCAGCATTTCTAATGGAGAAGGCCATGTCACTATGTATAGCAAAATAACCTCGAAAATGATTCCAAGACTATCTTTATGATTCTTTAGTTTCTGACCAGGACAATTAGGTGGGAACACAAGGATGACAGGAAATGGAGGGGTAGTTTTGAGGTGGCATACTAAACTGAAGATGCCCATGCAAATATAAGTGGGAATCTCCAGCAAATTATTTACTACAGAGATCAGACTCTCAAGAAATATGTGGAGTGGAAATATGCTTGTTTAATTTAAAATTTACCAAAACATTTCTATCTCGGTCAACATTATTTGTCCTAATAAAGGTTGTGGATGTGGACAGTGAAGATAAACACTTAAGGCATCATGATCACAGGTAGGATTATTATGGGGTACTCATTTTTACCTGTCAATTCTATGAAAACTACAAGGATATTCAAAATCCCTACATGTTGGGGCATGCACATTACTATAACGTGCCTCATTAGGCACCAGAAATTTTAAAGTACAACATTGCCTGATGAAATGGAAGTGGAGTTACATTCTTGCAAAACTCATAATAATGGTTCTACAATGAAAAAAAGAGCTGCTTTTGTCAATAACTAAATCACCCCCAGAAGCCAACCTCCAGCAATTATAATCAACTATAGGAAAAAGCAGGTGAACACTTCCCTATAATATTTGAATTTCAAATTCAACACACAAAGCGTTATTAAAAATGTTCAGTGTACTCATCATTTAACAATAGCAGCTAGAGGTAGACAAATAATTATAAACAAATGAAAAGCATATAACATTGGCTATAGCAAACGTTAATGTCAGAAAAAAATAACTGGCATTTATCTTCACCAATCAATAATTCTGAAATCCACTCATTTATGTTCCAACTAAAATGGTCCAAACTGTTTATGTTTCAAGACCTACAATGTGTAAAGGCTAATTTGAGTGTTGTTTTCACTTTGATTAAATGTAAGATTTTCTCTTAAGTTACAAGAATGGGCTTTGTGGTTTCTGAAATCATGCCTTTTAAGCAGGGTTGAAAGAGCAAAACACATCTCCAAAAAAAGTTTTAGATCATGGATAAGTGTGTATTTAGATAAGCAAGATTCCTTCTTTCAAGCATAAAACGATACAATTTAGTGACTTAATGTAGCAAAAAACTTGTTTCATTTTCTTACCTACTTCAAAGTGACATATTGATTTTAAAGGGCTATGTGTCTATTTTTCAAGGTATCGTGCTAGCCATTCTATCCATGTTATTGCTAGAATTTCCAGTAACTCTGGAAATGGGTACTCTGGGTGACACAGAGACACTGGGATATATTGTGTGATGATTAAGAGAGTGGACCACCTACATTCACCCTGGGGTGCCATCATTTACTAAGTAATGTTAGACAATCAAATGAGCTTCTAATGCTTCCATTTTATCTGTAAAATAGGAGAAATTAGTACATAATAAAATTTGAAGATTAAATTAATATATATGTCTATAAACATACATAGAATTATGCTTTCCTCATAGGTTTTCAAAATATTTAGTATTATTTCTACTGTCAGTGATACTAATATTAGTAGTAATTATTGTTAGTTCTATGTTGTACAGAATAAACTGAGACCAAGGGAAGCAGGTATACAGTCCAAGCACAACAAAGTTATTTAAGTGGTAGACCTTGGCCTACTCTAAAACTTCATCTCAGCCCTACACTAGGTCATGTCCTTGCAGGGTATTCACAGAATTTAGGTTGTTGGATACATAATTTGGATCAAAGAAAGAGGAAAAAGGAGGAGGATTGCATAGAAGAAGTTGTGGAAACATGGGATTACACAGAAGAGGATTACATAGAAGAGGAAAGAAAAACCAACAAAAACTGTCTGAACTTGACTCTAAACAATAGTTGTAACATCAGAGCCAATGTCAAAGTCCCTTGGTAGCATTATTAGTTTATTTCTGTGCATTATACTAACCTCTCTCCTAATTGCCTCTCTCACCCAAATTTTCTAAGTAGACACAGTACACAGGAGGCACCTGTGAGGGCAATGGGTAAGGGATTATGTGGGACTACTGAAGGTATGACATTTTTGCAGAAAAGTTGTTCACAGTTAAAGGATCTGTTTCTGAGAGGTTAAGTGGAATAGATACCTTTGCAGAGTCTTCCTCTGTGATGCAGTCAGAACAGCATTTGAGAAAGTGGTACTAACAATGTTTGGAAATGTTCACTGGATGCTCATACTCTCCCATCACAGTTGAGATAACAGCTACTCTAATTGGGAGAATAGATAGAGGGGAAGGGAGCATCCTAGTGCCATGATGGCATCCCTTTTCAATAACTGGCACCAAAGTGTCCGCCCAAAATATCAATCATGATTCACACTTAGCTTTCTGTTACGAACTTTGCAACCTTATTACCCAAAACAGGGCTTCACACTTCTACACACTAACTACAATGAATGACTCATTATTTTCTTAACCCACCATGTTTCCATACTTCTCAGACAGATTTTCTGTCTCAGTGTCCTCCTCCCTCCTTCCCATTTAATCTAAATCCAATCTGCCTTTGCAGACCTTGTTTAAACGTCATATCCTATAGGAAATTCTGACTGATCCCCTATTTGAATAATAATCTGAATCCTCGTAATAGTTTTAACTCTGTCTCTTCTGTGACTTGTGTCACTGTCCACATAAATATCTATTTATTGATGCGTATGTTATTCATCAATTCATCTTTTGAACCCCTTCAGCTCTGCATATCATATGCTTAAATAATATACATTAAATGAAAGTACTATAATAGTTTTAGACACTGAGTGCCTTATAAATGTCAGAAATCTTCAAATTGGATGTAACCTTCAGCAGAGAACAAAGAGAAAAATCATGCAGAGGTGGAGATGCTGACTGTGGGTAAGGACCCAGAGTCCATGTGAGGAGTGTATTCTAGCAGAGGGAAATACAATAGGTAACAAAGCCTGCCATGAATAATGTCTGTACCTCATTGGAAAATGTTTGCTGTGATCCTCCAGTGATTTTGGAGCACTACTTTTTTTTTTTTTTTTCCTTTTTGTGGAGAATGGGTACTTGCTATGTTGCCCAGGTAGGTCTCGAACCCCTGAGATCAAGCTGTCCTCTGGTCTCTGCCTCCCTAAGTGCTGTGATTACAGGTGCAAGGCACCGTGCCTGGCAAGAGCACTGCCTTTGTGTCTGTGACATAAAATTTAGTATGTGTGGCCAGGCGTGGTGATTCATGCCTGTAATCCCAGCACTTTGGGAGGCTTAGGCAGGCAAATTACCTGAGGTCAGGAGTTCGAGATCAGGCTGGCCAACATGGCAAAACCTCATCTCTACTAAAAATACACACACAAAATAAAATTATCCAGGCATAGTGATACACACTTTTAGTCCCAGCTACTCGGGAGGCCGAGGCAGGAGAATTGCTTGAACCCAGGAGGTGGAGGTTGCAGTGACCTGAAATCATGCCACTGCACTCCAGCCTGGGTGACAGCAAGACTCCGTCTCAGTAAGAATGAATGAATAAATGAATACAATAATTTTTTAAAGTATTATGTGTGGATTTTATCTTTTAGTAACAATATTTTTTCCATTATACCTAATGTTTTGAATATGAGGAAACTTATTTATTGTCAGTCTAGCTGGATATTCAAGAGACATATTTTCTTTCCCTGTGCTATCACACTGTTTTTTGTGTGTGTGTGTGTGTGTGTGTTTGTTTTTTTGTGTGTGTGGTTATGTAAGATTTAGCATCTGAAGTAATGTTTCAATTTTTATTGATTATTCCAGTTTCTACCTTCTGAAATACAAACTGCATGGATGAAGAAATCTTATCAGTTTTGTTTCTAAGTTAGTTTTTAGTTTTTGCGTTAGTATTATGCCTTCTTCATAAGCCCTCAAAATATTTATTATTATTATTCTTTGTGGTAATAGCAGAAGTGGTAGTAATAGTAGTAGTAGTATTGTAAGTCCCATTTTACACAGAAGAAACTAAAATTTGGTTTCTAAATTCTCAATTTTTAAGTTAGTGCTTGGCACACAAGAGGTAATCAATAGAAACGTATTGAATAAATAAATGGATTTTTGGGCTGAGTTGAAACCCATAGCAGAATGTTCTCAAAAAATATTATTGTCTTATCTAATAGAAGAGTTATAAAAAAAAATTCTTTTGGGTCTGTGAGTGACTTCAAAGTTCTCGATTTGTTGTTAAGTGCCTGTAAGTGTTCAATGCTGCTTTGTGAACAAATGCAGAATGAATTGTTTGAAAGTCTTCTCCAGAGAAAAGAACAGTTTACACAGGCATTCAAGAACTGCTGCTATCAAGGTAGCTAGATTGCTAATGGAACAGATCATTTCACTCCATTTCACTAGTTGTGAAATTGTATGATAAGCATTAATTCATTATTTACAGAATAATAAAGTATACCTACCTAACAGGCTGTCATCATTGCAGGTGCCATTAATCAAATATTTTCCTTCCGGACACACACAAGTGGCCCCAGAAGGATTCAGCAAGCAGAGGAATTCACATCCTAAATCCGAGCATGGATTGGGTACTGGTTAAACAAACGAAAACAACACATTGTGTAAATATAGATACAACAGGCTTCAAAAGCATAAACTTAAATAAGGGGAAATGATTCATTAGCAATGTTGAAAAGTAATCACATCAAATTTCCACTGGGAGTATCTTACTCAATATCATCATTCTCCTTTATAGGTGAAGAAAAATTACTACCCAATGCTCATCATTAATAGTAAGTTTGCCTTATTTATATTTTCCAAAGAGAGAAGAAATTATTCAGATCTATGCTTAGTTATTTTGCTTCTGACTAATTGCTTTTGGCATAAGAGTTGGTCTTAGAACCTGAAGTACCATTGGGGCTGTGTTGGAAAGTAAAGCCAATGGAAGTTTTGAGGGGATCTAGCCTTCACTTTAACAGCTTATTTCACAGAGCTGCTCTAACAGACAAAAACAATGCCCCCCTCGTATTTATTAATACAAAGGATTAAAATGCATATGTAGCTTGTCAGTTCAAGGTACAGATGGCTTCCTTTCCATCAAGTGGGAGTTTGTGTGCACGTGTAAATGTGTGTGTGCCATACTTATTTGTGTTTAAATTTTTATCCAATCGACATCCTTTGCAGTCATAGCTGATTATTGATCTTTCCTAGAGATTATTTCACCAGTATTAAACAGGAATGGCACCCAGGTAGCTGAGTTGGGGACCATGAGAGTGGCTTGTTTTCTGTAAGAACCACCACTCAAATGCCTATTATATTCAAGACAGGATTTTATTTGTTTACTTTTTATGAATGTGGCAATATTCAACTATGAATATAAAGTAAACAGAACTGGAGGATGAGAGAAAGTGTCCTCATATTAACCTTGGAATCTTATATGCCAAATTATTGGTAAAGAGCAGCAAGGCTTTGGATAAAATTTCAGGACGATTTAGGAAACTATATTTTGTTTTATTCTGTTGTGAGAACTGATTTGAATAAACACCACTTGTTCCAGATAAATGCACCAAACAAGATAAAATCCATTTCATTTGCCATAAATAGTAATTATAAATAACCCTTGAACAGCAGCTTGAAGAGTGAACTGATATATAAACACAGATCATTAGAATTTCAGCCATATTATTATTTTTCACTTTGTTCTTCAATATTTTTGACAGCTGTGTTAGAAACATATTTTCAAGAGTATTACCTTAATTACCTTAATGATTTACCCACTCCTTTCTAGGAGGGAGAGTAACAATAATAAGTCATATACAATAAATCAGAGAAAATATGCAAGTCTTGGGAAGAGTTCTTTTTGTATATATTTAAGAACGGAAGGTTAATACTATAATAGTTACTTGTTGATTAGTAATAATAGTCAAAATGGCCAACAATAAATTTCCTTACTTGGATAGTTCATCTATACACTCACAAGGTTCTATTAAGAATTTTAGAAACAGATTAACAGATTATTGTAACAAAGCCAGTTTTAATTGCATGAAAACATGGCCAAATGCTGAACATTTTCCTGGTTACAGCAGAAATATAATTATCTATATTTTGACGTTTTGGTAGTTGAAAAAGTCTAGTAACATAAAAAATTAAAGTTACTTAACTTACTGAGGTTAAGACATTTACATATGTTTTTTGAGAGAGATAAGAAAAAAATTTACCAGTATAGACAACTTCATAATATATTATACTTACAGTCTAGTTGTTTATAACGATGAGATATCAAAACACCTTTTGTTTTATCAATATTTAAAGCTAAGTACTCTACTGAACCATGGCCAAATTTTTGTACTCGAAATACACCATTTTTAGGTCCTGCTCCATATATATAATCTTCGAAGATATCAATTCTATGTGGATGTAATAAACCTGGAATTTCCAAAAGGCAGTTATGAAAGTTTTAATGTATACACTCAGACTTTAAAAACTATGTTTATCTGAGACCATATTGAAAATCTTATTACCGTTTAAACTTTCAGAATTGGAATATTTATAATATTAGCTATGACGTTCTTAGAATTATATCTTAAGTAAGGATATGCAATGTAGTAAACATGTTACTTAAAACATAAAAATACACTTCCATCATCACTTTAATCATCTTTACCATCACAAAGAATTTTCTGGGGGTTATTTGCAGACTAATCCTCTCTGCTATACAGAGAGGATATCTTATATCCAATGTTATCTGTAGTATAAAAACAGGCAGTTTACACAACTCAGTTTGTGTTCTGGATCAAATAAATGATCAAATTACATGCCCAAATGACTGGTTTATTAAGCAATCATTTGTTGATTTTTAAAGAGTAAATCCAAAAATAATATTTGACATTAGTATTGTTCATTTCAGAAATGGAATAAAGAAAACAAACAGGTAAATGAAAATCATTTGTCTGATTAGTTTGGCTAAAAATAATAGTAACCATTATTTTCACATTTTGTGACTTATTTTCAGAGATTTTATCAAATGAATAATTATTCTAACTTTTGAAACAGAAATTTATAACAAATAAAATGATAACCTTTATATTTTTACTAATTATCTAGAGGTTGTAAAGCAAAAGTGTCTTTATATTCATATATTTTTCTTTGCTGTTTCATGAAATAGTAAAATGTGCACCAAAACCAGAACAAGTTAACTTCATTGTAATTAATTACAGGTATGTGAACTTTTTTTTTTTTTTTTTTTTTTTATCTGAGGCCATCGATAAAAACACACACACACACACTTTAGGCAAAGGCACAATAAAAATTTGATTTAGTTGTTTAACTTCCCTGTTTGTGTTATTTAAAAACAAACAAACAAACACAAAACAGGAAACAAATCTATATTCAATAAATATATAACATGCAAATACAAAAATTTAAAGTGGATATGATGAAAAATTTGTGGTTACAAAAAAATTGTGGGAAGGGGTTGAAGTAGGGAAAAGAAAGTGACAGAAAGGGAAGAAATTAAATTCAGCAGAAAGAACTGAGACAGCCAGGCAGAAAAAAGTATGAGGAACAGAAGGGAGCTAGAAAAATGAGACAGTTAAAAAATAGAAGCCAGGCAGATAGGTGGGCATAAAAACAGTATAGCAACAGAGGAGCACAAGTAGATTCAGCAGTCACTGGTGGTAGAGTTAAATGGTCATTTTTGACGCATTGATACAGTAACTCATTGTTTGCTTGTTATCATTGCAATTGAAATAAAAGTTTGTGTTCACAGATGCTGATCTTGACTACTAGAAGTGCTCTGCTCAGAATGGATTAGCCACGGAAGCCACAGAGTAAAATTATTTTCTGAATCTGGACAGCAATGGCCATGTTTGTTCAAGTCAAGATGGACAAACTTTCAAGTCAAGATGGACACACTTCTGCCCTGACCTCTATGTTTTTCCAGTAGGAATGAAAATTTTAATTACTAGTAAGAGTTATAAGTTGAAAGGAGAAAGAATTTAAGAAAATCCAGAATGCAAAGCATCCATACTTACACTCTCAATAATAATTAAAAATGAAGACAAAAGCATTTCACAAACCTTGTTTGCTGCTGACAGAGACTATTGAGTTAGAGCCATCATACAGAACACTGCCAATGATGGAGAGCTCAAAGTCAGCCCAATATATGCGTTCACTAAAATAATCCACAGCCAAACCTGCAAAATCAACACACACAAGACAAACAGTGCAAATAAATTTGAAATCATTCAAAATCATACTTTTGCTTCTTATTGTGTAATTACAGTTGACATTTGTCTTCAAGCATCATAGAAATTACCCGGTGCCAATCACGATACTGTAGAAATTAGAAAAATTAAAGTAACTCAATCTTTATCCCAAATACATGGGTTCAGATTACATGGCATTTAGTTAACAAACTCTAGCAACAGTCTTATTTCACATAAGAAAGTCTGCTGTAAATACCCCTTCTAGCCATATTTATGGTTTCTTAATTTTAGCTATCCTCTAATAGACTTTCCTTTAATATTATTTCCATTTTCATCTTCATATTTTATGGAGAATGAATTAATTATTTAAATCATTTATCGGACCATTATTTAAAATGAGTTAGTATAATTATTTGTATTTTTAATTCCTTCAAGAAGGTATAGTTCTCAGAATACACAAGGTTCATGTATTTAATTAAAATATATTTTCACCCCTTCAGAGTTGGCCAACGGTGTTACCGATCGGACATCTGTGTGCATGCTGAAGTTAATGTGACTAATGATTGATATTAGCCGGGTGTGGTGGCTCACGCCTGTAATCCCAGCACTTTGGGAGGCTGAGGCGGGAGGATCACGAGGTCAGGAGATTGAGACCAGCTGGTCAACATGGTGAAACCCTGTCGCTACTAAAAATCCAAAAATTAGCTGGGCGTGGTGGCCGGCACCTGCAATCCCAGCTACCCTGGAGGCTGAGGCAGGAGAATCGCTTGAACCTGGGAGGCAGAGGTCAGCAAGCTGGGATCAACCTGGGCAACAGAGTGAGACTCTGTCTCAAAAAAAAAAAAAAAGAAAAAAAAAAGAAAAAAATGATGTTTATGGTAGGGAAGAATAAACAGTAAAGTTCTTGATTAAAGTTCTAGTGATGCTTGAATTAATTTTATCTGAGACTGCTTGTCTTCAGTTTCATTACAGGTAGATTCAGTGAATGATAATGGACTGAAATAATATAGAGTAAAAATATTTTTTTAGTTTCATTTTTTGATTTCATGAATGTAATTGGAATCCATCCAGTGTCTTTTTGTAAGAACATCATCAACACATAGAATATCTAAGAAAGTAAACTTCTTTCAATATGGAAGAGTAATATGTCTGACTCATGAATTCTATAATAAATATTCACTGCTGTAGATTTTTTTTGTGACGTAGCTACTGTCTAAATATGACATATTGCATACTTTGGAAGTACAATGCAGTTAAATGCCTTAGGCAACTAAAGAGTGTTCCCAATGAGAACATTCAAGAAGCAACTGAAGTACATTTTAATGGCAATGCAACTGAATGAAAGGCACTTTTGAGTCTGTGCTAGACTTTTATTCCTGTGTAACTGGACCAAGACTTAATAATCAGAATGGAAATAATTCATATTAGAAATCATTAGTGAATAATTATTCAGTTAAGTACAAATACTTAGCTCACATGTAATCAAATTAAATATTTTGTTCCTCAAGTAATGTATAGAGATGTACCATGCCTGACCAGATCCTGAAAAATAACAATTAAGCAAGTGGCCATTGTTTTACTGGTTTCTGCTCAATTATTAATTTTCCATTTGAAGTCATGTTAGAAGACACGTTTTTGCATTTTCATGTAGAATTATGAGTAATATGAACCACAAATTACACGTTTTTTTGCTGCTGCTCCTATAGTTCAAAACACCTGACTGAGAAGGGTTAAAAACATAACATAAAAACATGATTGTCTCTCTTCTACCAATGTGCTACAATAAAGAAGTAGCTAAAACAAAAATCTGTTGCCGATAAAATTAGTTTTAGACTTAAAAACATTAATATTGATAATCACAGAAAAGGAGAAAACAATGAGTATGTAATCCAATTTAATCAACAATATTGTTTTTCAGATTCAGAAGCAGTAAAAAGTTCTCAAAAATGTCATGTATTGCATTATTGGTCTAGGTTTGTCTAAGACATACCCACTTTTATCAGCTCTGGCCATATTTTGTACTATTGGATGGAATTACATCTTGATAAAAATTATATAACAAAGTTTATAGATGAGTGGAATTTATACTCCAGAAATCCAAAAATCAATAATTTTGATTTTTTATTAAGCCCTTTAATAAAAGAGATAGTCTTCTAAATTAAAAAGTTAATAAAGGAATCAGCTAACTTTTCCTGTTATAGAGATGAGAATCAAGTTTATATGAAAAAAGTTCTTGTCTATCTTTAAAATATCATATTTTATTTTGCTCTGTAATAAAGAACCAATAATAAAATGGAAAAAAAAATCAATTCTCAAGAAACTCATTCTTATCTGAACAGGGAAAGATGAATATTTGGAACCAAGTCAGTAGGAGCCCAGAAAATTTGAAATAAAATGCCATACTTGTTTTAATTAAGTATAATAGAATCACAATTTGAACGGTTTATAAAAAATAAAGACATAGGCTCACTACGTTTTAGTGACACAGGATAATGGAGCTAATTATGTAGTCATTTTCTGCACATCTCCCTTGATACCAAGACTACTTTATATTTTAGGGATTTTAAAATTTCACTCTTGTCAAACTCTAAAATTTTCTAAGATCTACTCGTTCCCCTATTTCTATTGTAGGCTGGAAGAAAATGAAAAACAAACAAACAAAAAAACAAAATATTATGTGAAGTGACCACAGTATGTAACACATTGATATTTAAGAGGCAGGACTTGGAGAGAACAAAAAATTTAAATCACTGTTTTTCAGAAATAGAGAAAAAGACTATAAACATTCTGTTTTAATGGAAAGCCAAAATTTGCAAGATAATAATAACCAAGTGTGAACTACCATATTCTTGATTTAAGAAGTTGATAAAGGAGCCAAAAAATAAAAATAAAAATAAAAACCTGGATACATACCATTATGTCAAATTTAATTTTTAAAAATTGTTAAAAGTATTTTTGAGTTAGGTTAGAAACTACATTAAAGTCATGTTTTCATACACACATACACACTTATTTTTCATATACATACACATCTATTTATGATAGTGTTGGTAAACTAAATTCAAATAACAGCAAAATAATCCTAACATTCATGTTCACTTTATTTAACTAGAGACTTTATGTTACCCAATGAATTTGCTTAATGAATCAAACAATTGTGAGTGGTCCAGGACCAGTATGTATTTATTTATTTTCTTAGAAATTGCTGCAATTTGAGGGAGATAGGAGGCAATGTAAATATGCTTTTAAATATCAAAGAATGTAGTTTGAAATCAAACTCATGTAATACTACATACCCTCCTCACTGGATGCAAAGTTGGAAAGTATCTTTGTCTGACACAGCATTCATTAACTCTACATACTCATGGGGACTTCCCCTGTACCACACACTGCCAGGTACTATGCACAGAGCAAACAACAAAAGAGTTCATGTTCCTCATACCTCAAAATAATAAGAACCATTTATGACAAACCCATAGCCAATATCACACTGAATAGGCAAATGCTGGAAGCATGCTCTCACCACTCCTCTCACCAGTCCTACTCCACACAGAATTGGAATTTCTGGTCAGGACAATCAGGGAAGAGAAAGAAATAAAGTGCATTCAAATAGGAGGAAGGAAATTAAAAATGTCTCTGTTTGTAGATGACATGTTCCCATATCCAGAAAACTCCATCTTATCAGCTCAAAACCTTCTTAAGCTGATAAGCAACTTCAGGAAAGTCTTAGGATAACAAATCAATATGTGAAAATCACAAGATTTCCTATACACCAAAAATAGACAACCAGAGAGACAAATCATGAATGAACTCCCATTCACAGTTGCTGCAAAGACAATAAAATACTTACTTACTTAGAAATGTAGCTAACAAGGGAGGTGAAGGACCTGTTCAAGGAGAACTACAAACCACTGCTCAAGGGAACCAGAGAAAACTCAAGATGAAAAAAACCTACCACGCTCATGGATAGAAAGAATATTGTGAAAATGGCCATACTGCCCGAAGTAATTTATAAATTCAATGCTATTCCTATTAAACTACCATTGGCATCCTTCACCAAATTAGAAAAAATAAAATAATAATAATAATAATAATAAACCATTTTAAAATTCATATGGGCTGGGCACCCACCTATGGTCTCAGAAGTTTGAGAGACTGAGGAGGGTTGATCACTTGAGACCTGGAGTTCAAGACCAGCCTGGCCAACATGGTGAAACCGTATCTCTACTAAAAATACAGAAATTAGCTGGGCATAGTGGCGGGTGCCTGTAATCCCAGCTACGTGGGAGGCTGAGGCAGAAGAATTGCTTGAACCTGGGAGCAGAGGCTGCAGTGAACAAGGATAGCATCACTGAACTCCAGCTTGGGCGACAGAGCAAGATTCTGTCCCCTCAAAAAAAAAAAAAAAAATTAATATGGAGTCAAAACAGAGCCTGTATAGCTAAGATAATCCTAAGCAAAAAGAACAAAGCTGGAGGCATTGCATTACCTGTCTTCAAACTATACTACAAGGCTATAGTAACCAAAACACCATGGTACTGGTACAGACGCATAGACCCATGGAACAGAATAGAGAGCTCAGAAATAAGACTGCACATTTACAAACATCTGATTTTCAGCAAACCTGACAAAAGCAATGAGGAAAGGAGTCCGTATTTAATAAATGATGCTAGAAGAACTGGTTAGCCATATGCAGAAAATTGAAACTGGATCCCTTCCTTACACCTTATACAAAAATTAACTCAAGATAGATTTAAGACTTAAATGTAAAACCCAAATCTATAAAATTCCTAGAAGAAAATCTCAGAAATAGCATTCAGGACATAGGTAAAGGCAAAAATTTCATGATGAAGATGACAAAAGCAATTGTACAAGAAAAAAATTGTCAAATGGGATCTAATTGAACTAAAGTGCTTCTGCACAGCAAAATAAACTATCAGAGTCAACAGACAACCTACAGAATTGTAGAAAATTTTTGCAATCCACCCATCTGATAAAAGTCTAAATTCAGAATCTACAAGGAACTTAAATAAATTTACATGAAAAAAACAATCCCAGTAAAAAGTGGACAAAGGACATGAACAGACACTTTTCAAAAGAAGATATACCTTTGGCCAACAAACATATGATAAAAAGCTTAGCATCACTGATTATTAGAGAAATAATCTGATAGTACTTCATAATATTAGATAGTACAACAATAGTACTTCATACTATGTGGCCCAGCATTCCCATTGCTGGGTATATACCCAAAAGAATATAAATAATTCTACTGTAAAGATACACACATGCATATGTTCATTGCAGCACTGTTCACAAGAGCAGAGACGGGAATCAACCCAAATGCCCACCAATGATAGACTGCATAAAGAAAATGTGGTACATATACATCATGGAGTACTATGCAGCCATGAAAAGGAATGAGATCATGTCCTTTGCAGGGACATGGATGGAGCTTGAAGCCATTATCCTCAGCTAAATAGTTCATGTTCCTGCTCTCATGGAACACATTATTCATCTGCTACACACTTGACTGAAACAACATGTTTTTATTATGTCTTATATGGTGCCCAATAAAAACAATAATCAGTGTGTCATTTGAAGGCACACATTATTTGAATCACTCCTTAAATCAAAATCATACAATAGCTCAATATTGGCTAAAAAGTTATGTTGAAGCCCTTTGGCATTTAAGGTTTTCTCTTCTCACATATTATGTCACCCAACCCGTGCCCTTCTACATGTGTCTTGATTCCTGACATCAGCAGAGCATCCATATGCTCTACACTGGATCCCTGGCTCAGAGGACTATATTATTTCATATATCTGGCATTTTTAAGTTAGCTATTACTATATATATATATATATATATATATAAAATGTGTGTGTATATATGTGTGTATATATATATTATTTTAAAAGGGAGTTTCGCTCTTGTCGCTCAGGCGGGAGTGTAATGGTGGGATCTCGCCTCACTGGGTTCAAGCAATTCTTGTGCCTCAGCCTCCCAAGTAGCTGGGATTACAGGTACACATCACCATGCCTGGCTTGTTTTTTGTATTTTTAGTAGAAACGGGTTTGCCATGTTGGGCAGACTGGTCTCAAACTCCTGACCTCAGGTGATCCGCCCGCCTTGGCCTCCCAAAGTGCTGGGATTACAGGTGTGAGGCATCATGCCCAGCCAATCTTTTGATTTTCTATTGATAAAGCCAAGGTTTGAAGGTAATAAATTCATTTCTGAGGTCTCACAGCTAATACATATTCCCTTGAGATTCAAAAGTGTATGTGACTCCAATGAAGGATTTTTAAAAAATTTCTTCATGATGGATTACCTGTCTATCCCTCAAGTACTTATTCAAACATCACTTTTCACATAGTTTTTCATTATTGGAGATTATCTTTCTCACCTCTGAACTCTGATATTATAAAATATGACAATGACACAATTCTCACCTTTTGCAAAAAGTACAATTACTTCGCATATGCCTCATTTTTTTTTTCTTTCTCGAATGTAAACTTTGTAAGAAAAAGGACTGTGTTATGTGCATCACTAAGTTACCCATAAGAGTTGTTGAGCAGAATGGGTAATACATGGAAAGTGTCAGATCCGTGCATCTGTCACTAGGCCCAGTGTTGGAGACACTGTGGTGCCTATGCAGATCACCTTTACTAAAGAGGAGTACCCAATTCCTCACTGGTGCTTCTGCAGTGAGGACTCACACATACCCTCCTTCTCCAGATCATTGTGCTTAACTGATTGAAGCAGCTTTGCTTGGAATATCACAGCCCCAAGGCTAATTAATGATTGATGGGGCATATCAAAAGCAGATCCCCTTGCCTGTCATAAATTTATGCTCCAAAGCGTAACTATAGTGACTCAAACCAAGACTAGACTGGACCTGAAACACAGTTTACTGGGCTCCTTCCTCTGCTCTCCCTCTGTCTTTTACAGCTTTCTTCTGTATACCACTTCCTTCATAAATGACTTTTACAACAATCCCCATTCTAGGCACTTGCCTAAGTACTATCTTACAGGTAATTCCACAAACTGCTGCCAGTGTCATTTTTTAAAATAAAAACATGTTACATATACTATCAATATGATTATGTAAAATGTTAACACCAAAGAAGTATTTTAAAAATAAAAACCGTGTTTGAGATTATGCCACTTAACTTGCCAATATCTTCAAATAGCTCTCTTCAAAGCTAGAATAGAATTCAGTTTTGCATTTGAGTCACCTTGCCATCCTCATATCTTCCATTCTCCTGAATTGTTTATATGCTTCTAGGTATGCTAACCTTCTTGCTGTTTTCATGCTGAGCTAATTCCTTACTCAGAACTTACTATTCTATTTTCTTAAAAAGCTCTTTCCTCACATATTCACATCACTTGCTGCCTCTCTTTATTTAAGTGTCTCTTTCAATATCACCCTTCTAGAGATGACTTCTCTGATCATCATAACTAAAATAGTACCTCCATTGACAGCCCATCTCTTACTATGATTTTCTGTATAGCAGGTATAACAATGTGACAGTATATATAAATACATATTCTATCCTCTATAGGAAGATAGACTTCATGAGGGTTAGAACTTGCTTCATATTGTTTCTTCAGCATTTGGAACAATTTCTGGCACATGGTAGATATTCAATGGGCATTTGTTAATGAGCATGAGATGAAAACAAATTTATGTACATAGACTAAATTTCAAATATTGCTTCTCCCCATAAAGATTAAAAACAATCTAAATGAATGGAAAGGTATCAGACACATTAAAAATGAATAGGAATATAAGCACTAAATATAAATAAACTACAGAAGACATTGTAATGCATAATTTTTAAATATGTACTATAAACCATGCATTATGTCCTTTCTGTGGAGGTGTAGTCGGTGGAGGGTAGGTGGCACAGAGCCCCTGAGGCTCCCATAACCTGAAAATGTTTTATTGAAGAAGTGCTAAAGTTAGAGGTACAAAATGGGAAAGATACAACTAGGTAGACAAAGGTTGACGTTCTAGATAAGGGAGTTGGGAGAAAAATGACATGAGAGAAAGACCATGGAGACAGTAAAGATCTGAACTCCTGGGCAGTCCTGAGAACACAGATGGTTTGGAGTAATAGCTTAGATGGCAAGTGGGCCAGGGAGATTAAAGTCATATTGAAAAGAGCTCTGCATGAAAAGGCAAAAAAAAATCATCGAAACTGTCTTTTACATAAAGTATATTTAGCCACTTATTTGTTCATTTCATCTCTCATCCTCTAGGAATATTTCCCAATATCCCAACTTAATTAACATATATCTGTAAAAATACCCTAATGTAACTGTATTGCTATAAACTGTCAAAATTTCATGCCTGTGAAATCTGACTAATAGCCTTACAACTTAGACAAGTTTCAAATCATATTCCTGTAATATAACTGACAGTATAAGTACCTGATTTTCAAGTTGAGAAAATAGGACATGAAATGTAAACAACTTCATAAAATCATACTATAAATGGTTTTATCCACTTGTAAATATACTTATATTGCCAACAACACTATAAATAACTGTTAACAGTAATATACTTGTCATTCTGCTTCATATTTTAGCATGTGTCAGAAATCATACCTGTGGGTCTCTGTAAGTTCTTTTGTACTAAAATCCTTCTCAGTGTACCATCCATGGCTGCTTCTTCTATGTGGGAGTGATCTCCAACAACAGTCCAGTACATCATCCTGAAGAGAGTGGGTCAAAGAGGTTAGCCTGGTGATGGTGTTGCTATAACCCAACTCTGCTCCACAAAGCAGTGACTCTTCAGACCACATGCCCCAGAGTCACCCCAGAGTCTCTTAAAAAGTAGATTCCCGGGTACAACTCAAAACACACAGAATGAGAGCCTCCAATAAATGGCCTGGGAATCAACATTTTAACGAAAGTCTTGCCTACACACATTAAAATTTGAGAATCATTGTATACTATGATGTACCATAGCTCATTATTTAATATCCAAAATTCAATTTTGAAACTTTCATTAAAACTCAGAGAAAAAATATTTCCACCACATGAAACTTCCCTTTTACTTTGACACAATAGTCATTTTATTATGGATGCTGTATGAACATGCTATTTTTTTTTATAGAGAAGTAACTATTTTCTCAAACAGAAATTATTCTTTAATTTGGATGACTGCTTAATTCTAATAGTTAGGTATAAGTTATCTCTTTTTACTCAGGAGTTATCAATCCACTTTATGGATGATTAAGAGTTTTAGTTAACATTTTTCTATTTACTTTTTGGCCATTGCTTGTAGGTTTACATCTCTAACTAAAAGAAGGAAATGTTTGTAATACACTCTTTAAATTTGCGTGTGTGTGTGTGTATGTGTGTATATATACACATACACACACATATATATATATTCCTTCATCTTTTATTACCATAAAGAAAAATGTTAGTACTCTGTATGTAATATGTTTGATATTATGTTTAATATTTTGACAATTCAATTTTAGATCAAAAACAGAGGTTGTGTCTATCACACCAAGCTCATTCTTCTGCAATGCACACATATAACCATGCACAGACACACACACAGACACACAGGTACACTGAATGCATAATACAGGAATATTTCAGAAAAAAAAATATATTTCGTATCATCATTTGGTGGGAATAGGACATGCTTTATAGTACAAGGATATTTAAAGGCATGTGACACTATTACACATTGAACACTCATTACAGAGACAAAATCTACAGAGCATAATTTCTAAAAAGGATATTCATTTTCAAGAAATAGAAATACTAAACCATTAACCTACCCTCTTTTAGGATTTACAGCAATAGCATACGGTTCTCCAGCCATATTTGTTAAGAGTCTGGTGCAGTTGGGGCCATTTAGCTGCCCTACGTTAATAGAGTACCTCAGACTGGTCCAGTGAGTAGTGTAGTAACTGAACCAGTGCATTCTAGAATGATCAGTCCAGTAAATGTTTCCAGCCACCCAGTCAACTGCAATGTCCCTGGGCCTTTTAAATTCAGGACACTACAAGGAAACAAAACAACACATCACAGTATTTTCAAAAGGAAATTAGTGGAGTTTTCTGTATCTTTGCATTGAAGTTATGGGGAAATTATAAGAACATAGTCATGTGTTAATTGCTACATGCAATTAGATGTCAAAAAGATACCTAATGCTATTTTCAATCTTCGTAGATGTATTATCTGCCTGAATCTTAATTGTACAGATCACTGGAGTTTAACCAGATTGCACCTGTTTAATCATCACTCTGCTGAAATATTTCCAGAACCATAGGAGGTTCACCCATGACTTCTGGCAGTCAATATTTTCTTTAGAGTAACCATAATTCTGATAGCTAACACCACAGATTAAACAAATCAATGTAAAAAACAATCATAATCTTTCATTCCAGAATTTTTTTTGGTTTGTTTCTTTGCGACGGGAGTCTCACTCTGTCGCCCAGCCTAAAGTGCTGTGGCGCGATCTCGGCTCACTGCAAGCTCCGCCTCCCGGGTTCACGCCATTCTCCTGCCTCAGCCTTCTGAGTAGCTGGGACTACAGGCACCCGCCACCACGCCCAGCTAATTTTTTGTATTTTTTAGTAGAGACAGGGTTTCACTGTGGGTTAGCCAGGATGGTCTGGATTTCCTGACCTCGTGATCCGCCCGCCTCGGCCTCCCAGAGTGCTGGGATTACAGGTGTGAGCCACCGCGACTGGCCATTCTAGAATTCTTTTGTTCAACATCATGACTGTGAAATGTATCCTTGTTTTGCATATATCAATTTTTAATCTTTTCATTGCTCAGTAGTATTTGTTCAAGTATTTGCTCAAGTGGATTTGTACTGACGATAGCCACTTGGCTTGTTTACAGTTTTAGGCCATTACAACTAAAGTTATGGATAGTTTAGCACTTTTTTGTTGTTGTTGGTGGTGGATACAAACACTCAATTCATTTGGGTATTTACCAAGGAATAGAATTAATGTTTTCAAGTTTATGCACACTTAGCTTGATAGGACACGCTAGAAAAAATTTTCAAAGAGTTTGTAGCAATGTACAATCTTTTCAGCAATGCAAGAAAAACTCAGATGCTCTGCATCCTCACCACACATAATTTTGTCCTACAATTGAAAAAATCATTAGTACAGCTAGACACATTTAGGAAAATACTACATTTTAACATCTTTTGAGGAAAGTCAGAATATCTGTTATTCATCTTACATTTGATAGGTTGGATTGACCATTCTGTTTTACTGTATTACTGTGAGACAATGGTAACAGAATTCATTGAGACTAGACAGCAAGGAAAATAACTTATGTTCTGTGCCCTTCAATTAACTTGATCACTTTGAGCAGGAACTAGTGTAGTACTTAATTGACATGACCAGGTTTATTGTGCATAACCAAAAGTGAGAAGGTATTCGCAGGTGTATTATGGCAAGAGTAGAAACAATTATTTGAAAGTGATTACAACTAGATGTGTAATCAATATGTAACAGCATCTTTAAGACCTGGGCAGCAGTGGAAATATGAGTTTTCAACACATGAAAGCTTCTTGTGTGGGTTCAGAGGAACCAGTATTATCAATCAGTGGACTTGGATTAAAAGAAAAGAAACTGACCATCTCGAAAAGAACATGGAAGGCCAAGAAACAGGAATTGCAAATCACTGTCTGCTGCATGATTACTGGGATCTCAAACAAGGAAAATATGGCTTACATTAAACACAGAATCCATAGACAATTTCTAATGCCATTTATCATCAGTTTTTTGACCTATTGGACGTTAAAACTGAAATTATGAAATTGTATTACCCTATTTCTCAACTTTAACAATAAATGTTATCCATATACCCAGTGATGTCTCAGTTATCTGAATTAAATGTAAAGCACTCTGCAATACAGTATACTCTAGAAATGTTATATAAATAATGTTCGCAGATGTTTAGAATATAAATGTCCTAGTCAAACCAAAAAATCATTTTCGAATGCTCCAGTATCATTTAAGCTAACTGTATTTTTATTTTCAACTTGTCATCATTTAAAAGTAAATATATCACCAAATGGCATGTGCATGTCAGTGTGAATCATAAATCTACAAACACGAAAGACAATGGGAAAAATCACCATTATAAGCTATTTTAAACCTGTTGAAGTATATGTGTAATTTTCTAACACTAGCAAAACAAACCTTTATGACACAAAACTTATAATGCTCTTTGTCTGATTGAACATAGAAAAAGTATCTATTTTCCATTTGTGAGATGTAAATGTATACACCTGATTTTCAATACTCATGGTATCCCTGATAAAATATGTCATATTCCATGCAAGTTCCACTTTTGTTGAATTTAGGATTTTCATTTCATTAAATTCATTCTCAAAAAATTCTGATTATCCTTCAACTTTAGACTTCTAACCCTAGACTGATGACAGTTAGTAACGCAGTTTCCTAATGTTTGTAGAGCATTCAGAAGTTTGATTTGGTGATACTTTTTCAGGTAAACAGGCTGGTGAAGATTTTACTAAGGGTGAATTATAGAAGGATAAATTTAGGTCACATTTCTAGGGTAAAGAACATAGATTAGAAAAAAGAAAAAAAAACTTACTTTTCATGATAAGTACAAGATATATTGATGACTTGCAGAGCCATTTAATATATACATTTATTCTCCTTCCTCTGAAATAACGAATCTCTAATGTCATTCAAGTAACAACTAAAGTAGTTAGAATATGGGGTAAAAAATAGGCACATGCAATTAATTCAACCTAAGGTTATGATATCATAAATGACAAGATGATTCTCAGAGAATAATGGCAGAGGGTGAAGATGTTATCAGGTGTTCATCCTCAGTGACTCACAGTAAACTAAATACTTACTTATTTTCAACAATGAAGAGAGAATAACAAAACAAAACAAAAGACAATCAGGAGGAAGAGGGAAGAAAGGAGTGGAGGCGGAAGAAGACAACCTCCCTCAGAATAAGGTGGCAACATTATTAACCTACTCTCAACCTATGGCCAAATTAGGAAATCACCCTTTGTACTGAGCTTCATAGGAAAGAAATAATCTCTACCATTCACATCTTGACCAGGATTTTGAATAGTATTAACCACATAAAAGGGAGCCTTATATTGAATGGATGTTCACTGGAGGATGAAAGGCAGAAACCCCTGTTGGATCTTCATATTATGATCACACAATTTATTTAAGGAGAGGTACCAAAATCAATCAGGTAAATACGAAAAATGGAAAAACACAGGATAAGTACACTGACATTCTGAGAGTGGAAATGAAGATTGACATGGGAAAACAGAACAGGAGAGCTAAGCTCCTTGCCTTCAAAAATCATGAAACAAAACAAACAAGCATACCAGATTAGAGAGAAGAAAATATACAACTTTCATTTGCCCCATTGACAAGCTCACTAGACAGGTACACCCATGAAATAGAGACGCTAATTAAACGTGTCCTGTTTGAGAGACTGCAGGAGCATGCAGCTTCCCTGACAACAAAAGGGTATTTCTCATCTTGTTGAACAGAGTGGAAGACACATTTTGGCTGCTTTCTTCAGACAGATGATTTCTTTTCTAATAAGCTCTCTAAATACACAGCCAGTTTTGAGACCTGAGGCATCCTTCTTTGTAGGAATGCATTAGTCAAATGAATGAAACCCTTACATCTTACAAAAAAAGTGACAGTTTGTAACAAAATTAGAGGTTACTAGTTTAAATTACTAATCCTTTATAGGTGTAGATTGTAAGGTATCTGTCACAATTCCAGCTTCAATAAACTGAAGATGTAAGTCACTGAAGACATTTGTTTTAAAACAGGAAAAGGGAAAAATCTGTGACAGGGGAGTTCAAGCATTTGAGCCATGAAAATACTGCTGTCTGTTTTAATAAATTTCTTACAGTTAGCAATACGCTTTAAGAAAATTTAGTTTACACAAGGATAAACTGTGGTGATACCACATATTTTATTGATTTGTGATGATTTTCATCTTGGTGTATATCTAAGAATAGAAAATTCAACTAATTTTATTAAAGTTACTTATCTCCCAATGGAATTATATTAAAACAAAGATATAAAACCACCCTCAAGAAATTGTGTGTGGATGTCTCTGTAGGATATTTTGCTAAATGAAAAGACTATTGACATTTTGCTTCTCAACATATGAATCAGATTCTCTTCCAATGAGTGGATGTAAAATAATAACTACACAAATTCTAAATTTTACTAAATTCTATTGACTTAGTCATGTTATTAAAATATCCAAATATTTCATATGTCAGTCAAGGAGCTCACATAGCAGTGGAGAAATCCTAAGAGAACCAAGAAAAAGTTATATTTAGAGCTAGAATGTGTACGAGATTTAAAAAAAAAAAAAAAAACTATTGCAGAGATGAAAAAACTTTGGCTTCTATTTATGATTTATACTGAACAATAGATTATTTCAATCTGAATAATTTTAAGGTTGCAACGATCTACATTAGGACCATGTCAACTTGAAATAATCTTCTGTTAGATGAAAAAGAAACTTCAGATGTAATTCTCAGACGGTTTTTTAAAAAGACCAAATTTGTCGTTGAATTAAAGACTCAATAATGTATGTGATTTTGTTACTCTTTTTTTTTTTTAAGCCCCTGTTACTCTTTTTCTTTTTTAAGCCTCTTCAGTGTTCTTTAACCTTTTATTCCTGATTCACCTCTGTGCTCCATAAAAAGAAAGACTGGCTCTCTAAACTTTTATTCACACTATCAGAAAAACAAAGATATCACAGAAGATTAGAAAACACACTGAATTTGGAATCAGAAGAACTGATTTAAATCCTAGTCCTAGTTTCTCTCCATATTATAAGGTGTATAAAACAAAAACTTTGGATTAGATGATCTTTGACCATCTCTAGCTCCTAAACAGTAAATTACGTAACAGTTTGAAATATTATCCATTCTGGGTAAGTCTGCATTTCGTATAGCCTTAAATGCATATCTATGGTAATTGCTCATTTTTAGGCATTAGTGAG